GAAAGAGGGATGGAGGGATGGATGGAGGAATGTTTGGAGGAAGGGATGGAGCAGTAGAGGGATGGATGGGTGGATGGAGGGATGGGTGCAGAGGGGTGGAGGGGGAAGCAGGAGCTCCTGGGGAGGTGAGCAAGCGCTGCCTGACCCTTTCCTGCCTGGGGATGAAGACAAACACAACCCCAGTGCCAGCAGCCCCTGCTTGGGCACGTACGGTCCTGCTTTCCTGCAACACCAGCTGAGCCAGCACCAGCCCTCCAGCCCTCCCTGTCCTGGGCAGGTCTGACTTTGCACGTTCAAACCAGACAACACAGTTTTGGACTCCTCAGCACCTGCCAGGCTCCCTCTGCCATCCTCCTCTGACTGTCCCATCCCTGTCACCAGTGCTCCAGGACCGCCCCAGCTGAGCTGTCCCAGTCACAGGGGCAGAGGTGGTGAGAGATGGAGGTGGCCTGTGGTGCTCAACCCCACCGTGTTCCCCAGCCCCTCCGGGAATGCTGAATCACTTCCCTCTCACCCCACTCTGGGATGAATCCTGGGGGCTGCCCGCCCTCCCAGGGGGTCTGGATGCAGCCTGAGCCACAGCCTGTGACACCAACCGAGGGGGACTCCCAGCCAAGCACCTCCAGGGGCAAAACCACAGAAGCCCTCCTGGTGGCAGGAAACCCAGGCTTTAGTGAGAAGGAACCCCCCCTTTTCCCATCTTCCTGCGCCATCATCATCACCTTGCAGGACAGGCGGAGGTGAGGAAGGGCACTCAATGGAGCTGCTGCCACCTGGCCCAGGGGCTCTGCAGGAGAAGGAGCCTCCCAGAGCAGCGAAGGCAGAGAGGGAAACCCAAAAATAGAACTAAAGGGGGAAGGAAAAAAAAAAAAAAAAAGAAAAAGAAACCAAACAACCCCAAATTCCCGTTTTTAATGCCAACTCCCAGCTCGCTCGCCTCCCTGTCACCCTGGCGACATTCCTTATGGTTGCCATGGAAACGGGAGGCATGGAGAGAGCATCACCGTGCGGGGCGGTGGCAGCGCCCGGCATTATTTTGGGAGGCAGGGGGACACCCGGTGCAAGGCGCTTCGTCTTGTGGCAAGAAGAAGGGAAGGCTTATTTTTACTTGCTCCCACTTCGTGTGCCAGTTTTTCCTTCCCTAAGCATCCATGTGCTCCTTGCCCTCCCAGCGGCCTGCCCATGGCCCTCCCGCGAGCTGCTCCCATGAAGTCCCTCTGAGGGTCACCTCACACGGTGATTCCTGGTGCCACACCGTGGCTTGGGGCCGATCAGCTCTTCTTGGGGATGTGCAAGATGAAGAGAATAAACCTTTGCCACCCACAACAGTCTTACGCCTGTGCAGGAGGCTTCATCTCCTGGGTGGGACAAGAAGCTGTGAAGAGGAGTGGAGGGACCGGAGGATAACGAGGGCTCTCAGACATTGAGCCCCAGGGGCTTGGAAGGGGATCTGTTGGTGTGGAGGACCCGAAATCTGTTCCCCCAAAACCTCCCATCCCCACTCCACAGCTCAAACCTCTCTCTGCTCACTGGCGAAAGGACCTGGGACGCCAGGACCAATTCCAGCCGGTCCCTACCCCATCGCTCCTTTGCCAGCACTCTCCTTTGGTCTAACCTGCTCTTCTCCCGCTGCACCAACCTCTGCCTCCATGCCCTGGCAGGGGCAGGCAGGGCCCTCCCCGGTTTCGTGGGGCCGAGCGGGTGTTTTCCAGCCCAGCCTGGGAACGCGGCTGGAAAAGCCCGGTGCGGCAGGTGCTGGAGCAGCAGAGAGGGAAAACACGGCAGCCAGCCTAATGGGCAGAGAAGAAATGTATGCAAATGTATTCAGAAAGGAATCCGGTGATGCTAATAGACTTGTTAGTCCTCTCCGTAAGCACCGGGAATAATATTTTTATGCTTTAATCATTAAGGATTTTACTCCAAGCATGCCCATAAGGATGTGCCGACGGAGGGAGACGCGGAGGAGATGGTCGCGGGTGACGGCTGGGGACAGGGAGGGCTGGGGACAGGGATGGCAAGAGCCAGCCCCGGGGCAAGAGCAGGCTGGGTCACGCAACCCTTGAGCAAGCAAATTAGACCCATGGCCAGATGTGATTTGCTTGGGGGGAGGCGGGAGGGGGCGAGGGGACAAATTAAAACATCCATTTGGTTGTATTAAAGCAGCTTTATATCGGTGATTAGATAATGAGCATCTAACGGCCCCGTCTCGATGCGCAGGTCCCCTCGCCCTGCCATGGGACCTCCCTGCGCAACCGCAGCTGCGAGGACAAGATTTCCCCCAGCCAGGCCGGTCGCCCAGGGCTGTTTCCAAATACATTAAAACTTTATAACCATCACCACTAAGCTCATTTCTGTTAAATCTACAAAAATGGCCGTACCTACGCGCTCCTTCCACACAATGCACGTATTACGTTGTTTGCAATCCTCTTGCAGGAATCTGGGATTAATATTTTCAGCGAAGTTTGTTTCAAACCAGCCCTTGGGAGGATTGGTTTGTTTGTTTTTTTTTTTCTTCTTCCGGAGCTGGGCTCTGGGATCCACATCGCTCCAGACAGGACACCCGCAGGTGGGGGCGGCTGTGGGTGGGGGGGGGGCCCCGGGGGACAGGCGTGGATGGACTAGCCACGGGAAGGAAGGGAGTCCAGGTGGGGTGCGACATGCAGCCGCAGCGACCCGATAATTCGGGTCTCTCCCCACTTCTTCATTTGCTCCGGGAGATGAGGTGGAGCACCGGGATGAAGGCGCTGGAGGCAGGATGGGGCCGGGAAGGGCAGAGGGCAGGAGGCTGCCGGGTGGGAGCAGGACAGAGGTTCCTGCACCCACAGGGAACGTCCCTGGGAAGCCCAGCCCTTGCCCGGAGTCCCCAAGGCCAGCGGATGGTGGGGATCCCTTCCCTCTGCCTTTTCCCCTGTAACGACACTTCCGCGTGTAACTTGAGACAAGTTGGGGAGGAAAAAAAAAGAGGAAGGGGAAAAAAAAAAGAAAAAAGGAAAAATAGTGCAGTTATTCTTGCCTCCGCCTCCTCCTCCCTCTCCTCCCCGGCCAGCCAGGAGCCACGTCACCGTCACCCAGCACTGGTTTCGGGGCTGCTCAGCAGGCTTAGCCTGGGGCTCTCCAAGGGGACAAACCCCAGCTTTTGGCCTGGAGGAGGGAGAAAAAAGCCTTGGGAGGGGAGAGAAAATCCACCTTGGGGGAAAAGTAAGCAAGGGAGACGTCCAGCTTGAGCGCCTGGCAGGGGAAGGGCGCTTGCGACCGGGGCAGAGGAGAGCCTGAACTTTTCTCCACCAGGAGACAGGGCTCCGTGCTGGGGAAAAAGGGAAAGTTGAGCCGGAGGAGAGCATTCGCTCGGTCAAGGCTTGGCAGGGGGAGCAATCCCTGCCCTCACCCTCCCCGCCTGCAGAATCTGCCCCGCTCCCTTTGCCCCAGAGGAGCCCCCCCGGCACCATGAACGTCTTCCGCATCCTGGGGGACGTCTCCCACTTGCTGGGCATCATTATCCTCCTGCTGCAGCACCACAAGTCCAAGTCCTGCGCCGGTGAGTGCTCCCACACCCTGGGGAAGGAGGGGAACTTTCTCAGAGGGCGGCTCAGCGAGGGGTGCGAGTGAAATGGGTGCCAAAATGCTAGCAATAGCCCATGGAAGCTGGCAGCCCTCCCCAGTGGGGTGTTTGAGGGAAGTCACCCTCCTGCAGGAGGTCTCCCTTCCAGGAGGAGAGGGCTGCGTTGGAAGGATGTGATGTGGCAAGGCGCACGGCCTCGGGCAGGTGTTGGTGTCGAGGTGGTGAAGCGAAGGCGGGGGCAGCAAGGCTGGAGGGAGGTGGAAAATGAGTGCGAAAAGTTGTGGCTGCACCAAAACCGACGACCTCAAGAGAAAGCTGCTTTAGGTAGGAGGGGTTTTGCTCTGAGTTCATGGTTTCCTCCCCAAGAAACTTTGGGGCTGGGCTGCAGCACCGCAGCCGTTATCACAGGTAGAGAAATGGGTGGGTCGGGCTGTCTCTCCCTGCCAGGGGTGACTAAGCTCCATCTGCGTCCCTGGACTGATCCCTGACCCTGCAGCTCTTCCCTGGTGCGGCAGATGTCACATCGCACCCCCACACACACACCCCCCGCAGCGAGGTGGGCAGGCGAAGGGGGCGAGGGAGGGAAGAGAAAGGCATTTTTGATGACAGCAAGGACTGAACTGGCCAAAGCACTGGTCCCTACGAGGGAGCTCAGGGGCATCAGCAGGAGCCTGCCCTGTTCCTTGGGAGACTCCGGCCAGTCCTGGGGTAGGTCTAGAGCTCCCACAGCACCTACACACCAGACCAGGCTCACAAAGCAAAACGCATATAATACAACCACTTCCACAGAAGGCCTAAGTGGAAACTACCATCCTGAGGATCCTTTCCTCTCATCTGCCTTACCTTCATTTCTTCTCCCTGCCATGCAGGTATCTCTGGGAAGAGTCAGATTCTTTTCGCCCTCGTCTTCACAACCCGCTATCTGGACCTGTTCACCACCTTCATCTCTGTCTACAACACCGTGATGAAGGTAAGGAGAGGGGGACGTGGAAGCAGAGGTTCCCCTCAGCTCACCGTGGTTTCTCAGGGAGGCAAGGGTACACGTTCACTAAGTTTCTCAGCCAGAGGGAAGAAGGAGCAATTCCATCTCCTTCACTTGTCACCAATGCTAAAGGCGGGGGGGGTGTTATAGGTTGCATAGGACGAGTGGATAAAGAAGTTTCCTTTGGTGTCCTTGGCCCTCCATTGACCAAAAAACCCCCTCACCACAGTCAGCGAGCGAGCTGAGACCACCACATTTAGTACCACCAAAACCAGAATGAGATGTCATGAATCAAGCCTGGATGTCCTTGCACAGCAGGAGCATTAACACGCCTGCCACCAAGCCAACCTCTTCACACAGAGCCCTAGAGGGCTCAAGCAAGTGCGATCCTCGTGGTGGGGCAATCTTTAGTCGACAGCTGGAGTATCTCCCGCAGAAGTCAATCCACAAGCCAGTGCAGAAAAAGCATTTACTGCTATCTCACCCTGGCATGGCCCCACCAGAATGGGGTTAAAAGGTCCTGACTTTGGCAAAGCCATCCTCTCTTCAAGCACAGACGGTGTAATCGCAGGTAAGGTCTTGCCGTCTCCCTTCCCTCCCCCAGGTCATTTTTTTGATATGTGCCTACATCACCGTGTACATGATCTACGTGAAATTCCGGAAAACGTTTGACAGCGAGAATGACTCCTTTCGCCTTGAGTTCCTGCTGGTCCCTGTCATAGGCCTGTCGTTTCTGGAGAACCACAGCTTCACCCCCTTGGAGGTAAGGAAAACTTGAGGCGGGGAAGGGGAGGGGAAGCAGCAGCCTGACACCACGCAGCAGAGCGAGCAGCACGTTGAATTAGTTGAGATTTTTAACCGCAAAAGCAAGCGGGGAAGGCCAGGTCGGCAGGCCTTGAAGACTGTACCACCTACAGAGCGGCTCAGCGCTGTCTCCTCTCAGTCTCAGGACAGCAGGCTCCTTTTCTCCAGCTCCAGCAGCACCACTCATCCCCAGCGCTCTGCCAAATTACAGCTTTGGCTCTTCACGCGTATTAATCAGCACCAAGACTCTCCACTGCCTTCATTTTGCATCTCACAGATACTCTGGACCTTCTCCATCTACCTGGAGTCCGTGGCGATCCTTCCTCAGCTCTTCATGATCAGCAAGACGGGGGAAGCAGAGACCATCACGACACACTACCTTTTCTTCCTGGGTCTTTACCGCGCTCTCTACATCGCCAACTGGGTCTGGCGTTACTACACAGAGAATTTCTATGACCAGATTGCTGTAGTTTCCGGGGTGGTACAAACCATCTTCTACTGTGACTTCTTCTATCTCTACGTTACCAAAGGTAGGTAAAGGGGTTGGTATAAATCCAAAAGGTTCATTTGGCAACGTACAGTGGAGCTGCGGCTTGCCAGGTGTTAATCCTTATGTGACTTTATTCTTTGCTGTATTTGTGATGCACATTGTCCACCTAAAAACCAGTTTAAAAAAACGTATCTGTTGAATGCAAGCGGGCACCTCCACTCACAGGGCTCTGGGTATGCATGTGAAACAAAGCAGAAGTTAAACCAGGCTTAGCTCCAGTTTAACCCCACCTAGGGAAGTTAAGTTATACTGAGGTATATCCAATTCTACGTACATTTTGAAAAATTATGAATCAGGCAAAAAAACTTTGAGGGGGGAAAAAAAAAATAGCTGTAGGCAGACAATGTACCTGAGGAAGCAACTGCAGACAGATGGAGATCTTATTAAGCCTACTTTTTCTTTTGATGGAAAAAGATGTAACGTACCCAAGAACTGATTCTGTAGGAAGATGAGCAATTGCACGGACAATTTCTGTTTCCCCAAATCGGATGCCCCCTTCCACATCCGCACTGTGCTTTGGTAAATGGCTCCGCACCAGAGCTAACAAGCGCGTCAAGGTCATAAAATGTGGTAGAACACGCTATGGTTTGCCGAGGCTTTAGAGTATTTTTCCATTGAGGAGGATGGGATTTGATGAAATCTAGCTGAGCCGCTGAGTATTTTCTTCCTTCTTTGCGTTCCCAAACCAGTTTGCCCAAAGCAGGAGTGACAGCCCATGTTTGATGTATTGAGGGACAGATCTTTGGTAGCTCCATGCCATGTACCTGCTGATGGAGAGGTGATGGGAGCACTGAGCAGGTGGCTGGCCTGGGCAGATTACGGCTTCCTTCTGCCATTAAAACATTTTTGTAGCCAGGAAAGTACTTTGTAAAACTGCCATCAAGGTGCTCCACGTCAATTCCTTTTTTTTTTTTTTTAAACTAATTCACATTTTAGCCTCACTCAATTCATGTGTCCCGTGTCCTTCTGTGTCTTCTGAGAAATCCATACCCTTTGTAGCTGCGGATGGTGGAACAAAAGGGGGGGAAAAAAAACAACCGCTGGCTTTCAGTCTCACATTGCTAATGATAAAACTGCAAAATTTAGATGATACGGGAGGCAGAAGAAAAAAAACCCATTTGTCCCTGGGACGTCACAGCAGGAAGAGAATCGCTTTTTGGGTTTTTTTCTTTTACACAAATGTTCTGGATCATGGGAGAGAAAAGGTGACTGAAGATATGCAAATGCTCTGCAGTCATTTATGAAAACCAGCACTGTTATAGCAGGTTGCATCTCTCACACTCTCGCAAAAAAAAAAAAAAAAAAAAATCTTTTCAAAACATTTCTAACGCAGAGGAGCTCAGACAAAAGGGCAGCGATGCTGCAAAAAAAGCAGAGGTATGTTACATAAAGAAATGTATTTAATAAGACTTCAGAGCCTATACCAAAGCATTGTGAAGGGATTTTTATAGGACACAACTGCTCTTTATCTTGTTTTCACAACTGGATGAGCTCCATTTCTGTTTGACACAAGGACCTGAGAGATATTCCGAGGAAGCTCTCAGCTCCCAACAGCTTGTGTTTCACAGAACGGCTGTGGCTGGGAGCAACTCGGGGGATCGTCTAACCCCCCCCCACAGCCCCCCCCCCCATGCTCACAGCAGGGTCACTTAGAGCAGAGTGTTTGAGGTCCTGGACAGTCGAGGTTTTGAGCATCTCCAGGACGGAGGCACCATGGCCTCCCTGAGCAACCTGTGCCCTCTAGGGCTCAGCGAGGTCTGACCACCCTTGCTGTAAAAAACAAAAAAAAAATGTTTTCTTACGTTGATGTAGAATTTCCCATTGCCCTGTGCCCTGTCACTGGGCACCACGGAGCAGAGCCTGGCTCCATCTCCGTTACTCCCCCATCAGACATTTGCACAGGCGGAGAAGAGCCCCCTCAGCCGCCCCCAGGCTGAGCAGCCTCGGCTCTCAGCCCGCACTCCTGCAGCAGATGCTTTAGTCCCTTAACCGTCCTCATGGTCTTTCCAGACTTGCTCCAGCATGCCCCTGTCTCTCGTGCTGGGACCCCAGGGCCTGGCCCCGTCGCTCCAGCTGTGGCCTCACCAGGGCTGAGCAGAGGACCATGTCCCTCCGCCGGCCGGCGAGGCAGCTGAGGCTGTTCACATTCTTTGCCACGAGGGCCCGGTAACGGCTCCACCGATCCCCCAGCACAGCCAGGGCCCTTTCAGCCAAGCCCCTTTCCAGCCGGGCAGCCCCCAGCACAGCCCCCAGCATGTACTGGTGCGTGGGGGTCCCCACCCCAGGGGCAGGGCGCAGCATTTTGCTTTGCTGACCTCCACGAGGTCCCTGCCAGCCCCTTTCTCTCCAGGTTGTCACCATCCCTCTGACCCCACACCCAACCAAGACCTCGAGCAGTGCTGGCCCCCGTTCCCACCCCCAGCACCAGGCCCACAGCAGGGCTCTGCCCCGCTGACCACCGGGCGGCCCAGGGCAGCCACTTCTCCATCCACCTCGCCCAAGCCTAGGGGCCCCTGGTATTTCCGAGAGGCCTCCCATCCCAGCTTCCGGATCAGAGGAGATGGGGCAGGCTCAGGGGGGTTCTCTGTTAAAAAGGAGGGGGAAAGCACTGGGGATTGAACAGTAGACGCCACGCTACATCACCAAGAAAAAAAAAAAATGGGGAAATTAAGAGCATCCACGCATGAGAGTAACCATGGAAGAGAAAAGAAGAACCTTTTCATTTAGCATGAAGGAGAATAAATAGGTTGTAGAGCTCCCCCCCTTACAAGCAATTTCATAGTGGCCACCTCCCTTCACAAGTTCTCTCCTGGTTCTCAGGATTCCTCGATTTCACCCTGCTTGCTAAATTCTCCCAAGATGCCCCCTCCACAGCGAGCAGGACCCTCCAGAGCTGTTAGGGCACACTCGTCACTGAGGACAGGGTGGGGGCTGTGTCACGCGGGGGCAGCACGGCTTGGCTCCTGCTAGCCCCCAGCAGCAGCACAGGGAGGACGCCCCAGCCGGTCCCACTGCCGTTTGCGAGCCTGGCAGCCCCCTACCCAGCGCTCCAGAGAGCAAGTCAAAAAATGTCTTGAAACAACGCAACGGTTGAATTCCCCAGAGCTCCTCCATTGCCTTCTCTTTCTCTTTGCACAGTCCTAAAAGGGAAGAAGCTAAGCCTCCCCATGCCTGTTTGAAGACGTCTCCGCAGACAACACAAGGAATTCCAAAGATGAGGCTCTCCAGATCACAGCTTTCCCTCCCGGCCCTTTTTGACTCACGGATGGCTCAGCCGAGCTTCACTCCCGCGCCAGGAAGACGAGGAGGCCTGGAAAGCTGATGTGTTTTTCATCCAGAAGAGACTTTCCCCCCACCCTCCCCACCCCCTTTTTTTTTTTTTATTATTTCTTCTTACTTGAATCCAGTGCTAGTAAGCAGTGCTGGCCAATACTGAAGGAGTGCAAATTATTCTCTCCCGGCTCTTCCCAGCATCTACCTCCAAAACGCAAACGCACGCCTCTACCTTGACCCGAGGCAGCACCGGGGGCGTAAGGGGAACTGTCGCTACCTCCAGCCCTTCAAGGGGTGGCAGGGGGAAGGCGGTACCGTTCCGTCCCGTCACACTTTCACAGGCGGCCGCATCTGACCCAGCAGACGCTGCGAACCGCTCCTCCCGCTCTGCACGAACCCACGCCCTCCTGAACGGTAACTCTGCCCGACCCCCGTTCCACTCGAGTCCCGTAACATTCCGGAAAAACGCGTCCCCTTCACAAGGCACGCATCTTCCAACTCCACAGGTATCCCCTCGTCCTCCCCCCTCACTCACTCTCAGTGACAGCTCCTCACGTTCTACAAACGGGGATCGTTTCAATTAAAATTCAGTGGGTTGCCAACACGTGTTTCCAACTCCTCAAATCTGACTTTTTTTTTTTTTTTTTTTTTTTAAGAACTGGGAAGAACAGGGGCAAAGACTCTTTTACACTCCAAAAATAAAGACAAAGTTCACAATTTATTGACAACAGTGTTTTTATTTATACCTACAAAAGAAAACAAGATGGTATCAAAAGGACAATTTACAAACTAAGAATAGTAACATAGCTCTTAGTATCCTGTGCCTGAACACCACAGATCTATGACTCTCTCGATTCAAGTCTTCATTAATACAACAGGAATGTGTTCAGAGACCAGCAGGGGTGTGAAACAAGGCGCTGATCCCACACAAAGCCACTAACCCTTCCATTGTTCAGAGAAGTCCAAACAGTAAATTGCTTCAGGAAGTGGGAGGGGAGGAGACCCCCAACTCATCTGAGGCTCCCACAAACTCTTACAGATGGCAAACAAGGCGCGCACCGCTGGGCGCTGACGCTTCACCCACCAGGGCCCCCTGGGCTGGCGCGGGGCGCAGAGCAGCCAGCACCGGGCGGGACGGGGGCAGCGCGCGCCGCGCTGCGTGTATGCACTCAGCAGTCTGGTGAACGCTCTGAACTGAACCCATCCCCGGGCTGCAGCTGACCTGGATGGCGATAACGCGCTCCGAGACTTGGCACAGGCGTTTACATGCGCACAAGTCGGGCACCCCCACCCCCCCCCAAAAAAAAGGAGTGAAAGCTATAGCAGACTGTGAGGCAGCTTTGGCGGTCCAGAGACCCCTTTTAAAGCCAGTCAGTGAGATGTCCTCCTCCTACACCCCTCAAACACATTCTGCATTGAATTCGCAAATTTAAGAAAAAAAAAAAAAAAAAAAAAAAAAAA